ATTTTTTTTTTTTTTTATTGTAAAGATGAGGGTTCACCAAGTTGCCCAGGCGGGTCTCGAACCCACGGGCTCAGACAATCCACTTACCTCAGCCTCCCAAGGTGTGGGATTACAGGCTGAGCCACCGAACCCAGCTTGAAATTCGTTTTTTTTCTTTTTTTGAGTTGGAGTCTCACTCTGTCGCCCAGTCTGGAGTGCAGTGGCCGTTCCCGGCTGCTGCAGCCTCGACCTGCTGGGCTCCGGTGATCCTTCCACCTCAGCCTCCGAGTAGCCGGAATTACAGGGATGCGCTACCACGCCCGGCTGATTTTTTGATTTATTGTAGAGATGAGGTCTCGCTGCCCAGGCGGGTCTCGAACCCGCGGGCTCAGGCAATCCACTCACTTCAGCCTCCAAAAGGCGCAGGAGCCACTGAGCCCGGCTTCTTTTTTTTTTCCAATTTTATTTTATTAGAGGAATATGGGGTATAAGTGAGGATTAACTACATAAAAGCGCAGAAAGTTTTTTTTTTTTTTAATATTAGAAAATATAGTTTATTTAGAAAGTAAGCTAGAGAGAGAGAGAGAGAGAGGAGATTCACCTCCCGAGGTAGGGGAGGGGGCCAAAGCCAAGAAACGTGGCAACGGCCATAGTTCCAAGAGCACATGACCACACCAGAGTCTAGTAAGGCAGTGGCTGTGCTGAAATTCTTGACAGCCAGATGATAGTTATTTAAGTAGACACAGTCATTTAAGTAACACTTGTTACAAGAGGGAAAAAATGAAAATGAGAGAAAAAGAACCTTGCTGATATTTACAAAACGTTTTTTTCTTTTCTTTTCTTTTAAAGTCAGTGTCTCTCTGTTGCCTAAGCTGGAGTACAGTGGTCTCAACTTCCTGGGCTTAGGCAATCCTTCCATTTCAGCCTTCCAGGTGACTGGGACTACAAGTGTGTGCTACCATGCCTGGGTAATTTTTTTCTTTTTTTGTAGAGATGAGGTCTCTCTGTGTTGTGAGGTTGGTCTTGAGCTCCTGGGCTCAAGCAATCCTCTCACCTCAGCCTCCCAAAGTGCTGGGATTACAAGCGTGAGCTACTGTACCCGGCCTCGTCCTGACTTTTATGGACATCACTTCCTTAACCTTTACCACTCATATGTGTTCTCAAACTTTACAGTTTACTTTTGATTGCTTTTGAATTTTCTCCAAGGGGTATTGTACTCTATGTATTTTTGTGTCATGCTTTTTTCACTTAACATATTTCTAAGATTCTTTGGTGTTTTGGGTAGAGCTGAAGTTTATTCATTTTACTGATCAAGAGTGACATTTATTAACCTTTTTTTAATCATTGCCCCCTAAGTAGCCTTTTTAGACAATTTTTTCTAATTGTCTCGCCCCCCCATATACTTGAGATATTATATATCTGTTTATGTACTATATCTATATTTCTATATATATGTATATAATATATATACAGTATAAAAAGAATACTCTTTTTAATCCCATAAGAATCCATTTTCGGCAGGTGCGGTGGCTTATGCCTATAATCCCAGCACTTTGGGAGGCCAAGATGAGAGGATTGCCTTAGCCCAGGGGTTCAAGACCAGCTTGGGCAACTTAGTGAGACCTCATCTCTATAACAAATCAAGAAAAATTAGCCAGGTGTGGTAGCATGTGCCTGTAATTCCAGCTACTTGGAAGGCTGAGGTGGAAGGATCGCCTGAGCCCAGCAGGTCGAGGCTGTGGTGACCCTCAGCAGCGAGCCACTGCACTCCAGCCTGGATGACAGAGTAAGACTCTGACTCAAAAAAAAAAAAAAATCCATTTTCAACTGGGTATGGTGGTTCACACCTATAATCCTAGCACTTTGGGAGGTTAAGGTGATAGGATTGCCTGAGCCCATGGGTTCGAGACCAGCATGGGCAACTTGGCGAGACCTCATCACTACAATAAATTTTATTATTATTATTATTTTTATTTTTTTTAGTTGGAGTCTCACTGTTGCCCAGACTGGAGTGCAGTGGCCGCTCCCGGCCACCGCAGCCTCGATCTGCTGGGC